TAATTATATTTTAGATTTTTTATATTTTAAAATAAGATGTTTATTCTGTATTTGATTATGTTTATCCGTAATTAGTTATATGAAAACATCGAGCTTTAATAAGTTGTACTTTTGCATAATTTGCTTGTAATCTTGAATTTTAAGTAAACATTGGTTTTAATGGTTTTGAGAAAGTGATAATGTTTTTATTTTTGAATAAAATATAAATTTAAAAATATCTTAAATTTTTGAAAAAAAGATATCGATATTAGTATTAAATTAATTTTTTAAAGGTTTTTGTGTTTTGGTGTAATTTTTTTAATTAAATTTTTTTAATTATAATTTAGTAAGAAAGAAATTTAATTTAGGTTTAATAATATAATTTTTTATAAAGATAATAACTAAATATTCTGTTAGTTATCAATGATTATCCTAATTATATTTTTTATATTTAAAATGAGATGTTTATCCAATATTTGATTATGTTTATCTRCAGTTAGTAAGACGAATTCAAATATGGAGCTTTAATAAGTTGTACGTATGCACAATTTACTTGTAATCTTACATTTTTAAGTAATATGGATCAATAAACAGTACTTTGTATATAAAAAATCGTTTTCAAATGTTTTATAATATAGTATAGATTATAAAGCATTTGACAAAAACTCTTAAAAACGATTTTTTATGCACGAAGTACTGTTTATTGATCCATATTACTTAAAAATTTAAGATTACAAGTAAATTGTGCATAAGTACAACTTATTAAAGCTCAATGTTTGAATTCGTGTAACTAACTGCAGATAAACATAATCAAATATTAGATAAACATCTTATTTTAAATATAATTTTTTAAAATATAATTAGGATAATTATTGAGTTCTAACAGAATACTTATTATTATCTTTATAAAAAATTATATTATTAAACCTAAATTAAATTTCTTTTTTACTAAACCTAAATTAAATTATAATTAAAAAACTGAATTAAGAAAATTACACCAAAATACAAGAATTTTTAAAAAGATTAATTTGATACTGATATCGATATATATTTTTTCAAAATTTTATGATATTTTCAAATTTATATTTTATTTAAAAATAAAAATATTATCACTTTCTCAAAATCATATAAAACCGCATTACATCAATATAAGAAAAAATAAAACAAAATACTGAAATTAAGTTATGTATCTATGTATTGCAAGATTATCCTTCTGATAGATAAAAAAAGCCACAAGTTGGTTTGGGCTTAAGATTTTAGGCCCATCAAGAGTTAATATGCAACGTAAATGCAACCTATAAAAGGTGGAATAGTCACAAATAGTCCTCAGCCAACGGTGATGTCGTCTTTCTTCTTCAGCGAAATTTAGGGTTTTGCAAAGATATTACAACCAAAATCTTCAGGAATGGGAAAGACGAGTTCGAAGTAAGTGATATTCCTTCATACAAGTTCAATCCGTTATTGAATACTTCGAAACGTTATAGAACTTCTTTCGATTTGTATTTTAAATCTTTTTGTTTCTTCAGAAAGGATGAAACCAAGCATTCTGATCGGAAGTTTGAGAAGAAACTCGAGTTCTATTCCAGTAAGTGTTACTTCTAGTTCGTTCATCCGGTGGGAAAGCCCTTGATAGATAGTTTGCCATTGCAATGGCTGAAAACCAATGTAGTTTTGCTTATAAACAGTGATGTACTTGTAACTTGGCATGTAAAAGTTGTAATATATCATACATACGGAGATCCAAGTTATTGATATAGTATAGGCAATTCCAAATTTTTTTATTAACTGAATATCCAACCGCTATGCTAGCTGATTAATCCCAAGGCGATCACCCGTAGCCCGGAGTCACAACATTTGAACCTCCGTGGTGGATTTTTATTCCTCCTTGAATTCGAACCTAGACCTCCGGACACTTTTGACTTTTGGATCCCAAGCTCAAACCATTCGGGCACCACCCTTGTGGTTGCATGTTAGTACCATTGAAAGTTGTACATAGCCGTGGACTTTGGAATGCCAGCTTCTGGGAAAATGGCAACCGTGATTTACAATCTTGTTTCTTAATTCTCAAGAATCTGGCGACGTTTATATTTCAGTTTTCATGTTTGCAATGTAGTATCTAAAATCTAGCAGGATGTCCTAAAGAGACTAGAGGATAGCTAACTGGTGATCAATCTGTAGTTCAAGGGTTGAAACTAGAACTCAGCGAGAATAGGCAGCTTTAGCATCAAGCACATCATCATACAGACAGTCATCCGTATGAGAGTCTCCCATTTGAATTCCCTGAGCAAGCTCTCCTCTTCCACATTGCTGGAAAGGGCTTAGCCGCCTGAGTCAAAATGATCTATTGCAGCTTGTTAGTGATTTTAACCTGTAATATTTGAGGGTCTTCTTCTGATAGTTGCAGGAAAATTTTAATTTTGGTACACATAAGTATGCAATGATGTTGAACTAGCAATTATGTGGATGAATTCATGAGAAAGACCCCGTTTGTATTTCTTACGAGTGAATTTGACGTATCTTGCACTGTAATGTGCTCTACACATCTTTGTGACTGTTGTCATGTGAAGTTACTACTTCTTAGAAAGGATTGTCTGGTTTTTTGCTTCCTTTGACATTTTTCAGTAGATTCTCTTACCATATTGACCTTATCTTTGTATTGTTGACCCATGTCTAGTTGTTTCTTAACATGTTCCGTTGATGCTGAACATCATACGTTGACTTTGTTTTCTGTTGAACTTGTTTGAATCTGATGTTATGTATAATCAATTATTATTTGATCCAAGCTTGTGTACATGCATTCTTTGTGGTGGAAAGGGTCTGTCTGGAATTTATGCATTGGCTCTCCAAATCTAGACTGTCCATTTTGTCCGCATTTTTACATGAGTTTTTATCTTGCAGAGGTTAAAGAAACTGTTGCTTTAGGTGCTCAAAAGGGGATCAAGAAGGTTAGTTTACCCCCCCCCCCCCCCCCCTTCTGGATTTACATTTACTAATTAATCTTAAAACTGTCACTATAATTCAAGTCATTTACTTGCAATAATTCACTAAAGCGCATTCAGTTGAAAGCTTAATTATTCTTGCTCACTATACTTGGGATTTGAACTATTCAATTGCTAAATTTGTGTAATATCCTGAACTTTATATGCATATTTATAACGAAAGATGCTGAATCAGGCTAGAAGTTTATTTCGACACCACATCCCTTGGTTTCATTAAATTGTTGTTTATGTAAAATAATCAATAAAATAGATTAAGATATAGGTGGAACTTTCTGGTGTTTTCTAGATCTAAGAATTGAAGCAAGTCTTGTATGTAGTTTGGTTTTGTATGCTTTCATCAAGCACGCGAATACATGTGTATGTCTATGGCTGTCATAGGAAAAATTCCTTTATCTTAGCTAAGGCTCGATAAAGAAGTTTTGAGTGAATTTTTTCTTTGCTCATCAAAATATCGTCACTTGAAGCTAAACCCTGCTGACAAATCCATGACTAACTAGGTGCTAGTTTCCACTAAACCACCATACTTGCTTGGTATGCTGAGCAAGAATGGTGACAGAATGGCATTTTTTGGTTTTAAATCGACAGTTTTTTCCTCCCCACTATTTTGTATGATTTCTGCATTATACAGCCTTCTATATATCATTTGGTTCTTGGCATACCATGTTGTAGCAACTTCCGTTAAGCAATGTGCATTCCTATTTAAGAGAGTAATTGATTTTTAGCATTTGAGGTGCTAAAGAGTCCTTATTATGTACCAGAAGAAGAAACTTAGAAGCAGACAAAAGAAATTGAAAGCATACAATCTCACTTCACTGGCAGAATTCCTACCTGACATAGAGCCTTCCAAGCAACCAACTCCCGCTGATTTCAAAGTGACGACTAAATCAAAGCAAAAACTTGTGTAAGTTCGTCAATTTCTTTTTAGAACTCTTAAGCTTTATAAGTCCATGTGCATTTTCGTAATGAATTTATTCTTCCATCAGAATGAAAGAGACAAACCAATTGAAAACAGTGCTTAATGATCCTGAATTCAAAGCCGATCCATTGGCAGCCTTACACCAACATTTACAAAGCACGCAGCCGGTTCCTGATGAGAAACCAGCTCGAAAGAAGGAAACTGGAAAGAAAGGACGGAAGAAGAAGAAGAAGAAGAAAGGGTCTAAAACTCCAACAGAAACTCAATCTATGGAAGAATGATGCACAAGACAGGTTATTCTTTCCCCATTTTTGTTGGTTTTCAGGTTGCTTTTTGCAATATGATTCATGGGTTGCTAGATGTTATGCAAGTAGACATTGAATTCTATAAAGCATATCTGTTTCAATGTCGAGTAAATATTTGGGAAAAAGTTGAGCAAATTGTAGTCCGGTTTTTGTTGCTTCATATGTTTTAGAAACGTATTGGGTAGTGATTGGTATAAGCACGAGTTATGTCACATATACGAGACTATATAACAAGATCACAGACACCTTCAAGGTGCCAAAGTGCCTAATCGCGATCTTTGTACGTGCTTAAAAGACTACCAAACCAACTAGCTCTTAAATATTGTATGATTTGGACTTTATGGGTGCGTTTGTGTTGTAAGAAATTGCGGGTCTAAGTTTTTAGAATAAACCTCTCTTCTTTTGGGTTTGTTTGGATAAAAAGTTGATTACTTCCAAACTTGAAATTACTTGTTTCTTGTTGCTTTTCTTTTGTTCTTTTTGTACCAAACCCTTTGGTACCATTTTTACCAACATTTTGATACAGAGAACTCAAGTTTTCATGAAGTAATGAGTTACATTTTCTCATTTAAAGTTTATGTTTCTAAAACATAAAACACAACAACTTTGAACACTGATTTGGACCATGGAAACGTAAGATCTGGGACATAAAATTACTGGGGTTCGATAGAGCTCTTAAAAAAAGAAAGCTAACCATGTACTAAACTCGAAGATTGGTTTAAAAAGTCACCTCCAAAAGAGGAAAAACTAAGGTTTTTGACTATGAACTTTGAGTTCCTATCTCTCTTTCAAAACTCAGTAAAAATACGAGTGGTTTGAATCCAAATGACCCATAGCTGATGCTCTTCATTTATAAACAAAAGTTTTTGATGTATTAGGGGTCGTTTACCAAACGCTTATCCGGGTAAGCGCTTACCAAGTCACATTAACTTACCGGGTGAATATGGTAAGGACCAAAAATCTTATCCGGTAAGAGCAAGACAAGGATCAATTGTCTTACCCGGTAAGTGAGGATGATGACTCTTACCACGGTTAGCGCTTACCGAGTAAATTGTTGCATATATGCCGTTTTTGTTGATTAAAATCTTATCCGGTAAGTAAGTGATAGTGTTGAATTTTACTGGTAAATGCTTACCGGATAAGTGTTGGGTAAACGGCTCCTTAGTTGAAAATTTTAGCCAATTGGATGTTTTCTAAGACCAACTATCGAAAAGTCACCATAAAGAATTATATTTCAAATAGTGTTGTCGTTTTGGCTAAACAGATCCTCTGTGTTTCAGAACTTTGCATTCGGCCCCGTGTACAATTTGCCCCCTCCTTACATAACGTTTTAACATTTTTGGTCAAGTGAATATAAACCCTCATGTTCACTTATTACTTTTGTAAAATGGCAGAATTGGCCCCTCTTGAGCATTTCCTTTACATTTTTGATCAATAAGATAAAACCCAATTTTATTTTATTTTTCCTTGTCTTTTTATAATTATTTATTTACCCTATTTTTGGGTGTCACGCTGGTTTATTGAGCCACACAATTGCAAAAACAGATAGTTCTCTCCGCAACAAGAAGCATCTATAAAAACTGTAGAACGTATGTTTGGTGTTCTCTAATCGCATTTTCACAATTGTAGGAGGACCGACTCTTTTTTGGAAGAAAAAAAAAAGACGTGCTATATGACTTAGTGGTTACATATAATACTTTAAAACACGTGATAATCGAGGATGAACGTGATCTCGACGCACCGACTGAAATAACATAAGAAGTGCCATTAATAGAGGTTAAGATACCGATTGATGATAATAGTCAATTTCAACAATTTCTTACAATTTATAAACAAATCAAATATAAAGCTCAATTTGCAATTCCTTTCGTTTTTTGTTTTTCAATTTGCACTCCCTGCTGATTTCTAATCAGCGTCAGTCATCATGTTTCCACTCCCCCTTTTTTCTAGAAAGAAAACAAACAAAACATAAAATGATTTTTGTTTCAATATATAAATACTAATTGAATCTGGGTGTTCCTATTTCACCTGAACAACAACATGAGTCACCGGAGGATGGTTTGGGATGGGGTGGTTTTGGAAATGAAGGGAAACCAAAGTACTAAAAAGTGAAGTCGGAAAACATTGGATTTTTATGAAGTTACCTATGAAAAATACATTGGTGGCAACATAGATCTCTTCAAAAGAAAATCATATACAAGTAGAATTTTTGAAAGACTTCATTTCGCTGTCCAAAAACAAAAACAAGATCATGCCATCAATCTCACTCTTTTTTATTATCGTTTTTGTTTTTCAATTTTCCATCTTTTTTTATATGTCTATATATGCTCCATTAAATTGTTGTAAAAGAGGGAGAAATAAAAGAAAAAATATATCAAAAGTGGGAGATTGATGGCAAGGGACCAATGACGGCAATGGACAATATAGAGAACAAACAGCGATGGCGTGCCCTGAAGTGGGTTTTTCATCCAAAAAAAAATTTAAGGACTTGATCATTCAAAATGAGAAAATTTAATGATTTTTCATTCAAAAAAATAATAATTAAAGAACTTAATCATTCAAAATAGTGAAGTTCTTTGAATTTTTTGAACTTTTCGCTTTATTTATATGTTTGAGGTGTAACCATATTAATTATAGTTTAAAATGATTTTTTACTATTTATCTATTACCCGTTTCGTTATCTCCTAGTTTAATGGGTCGGGTATGGATATAGATAATTACCCGTTTTATTAACTGTTATTTTAAAATGAATTAGATAATGGTATAACATTTATCCTACCCATACCCTACCTGTTATCAGACCTCTCTAAAATCTTACCTGATAAAAGACACAAGAATGATCAAGAATTTTACCTGGTAAGTGAGGTAGAAGACAATTTCCTAGTTAGGGCTTACCGGGTAAAAAACATCTTACCAACAATCTGTTTTGAAAACCGAGAATGTTATCCAATAAGATAAGTGATAGATAATAATTTGGTGATAAGTATTTAAGTGGACCATTGTTCAGTGTTGAAGATGGGCAATATGCCATATAACAAAACTGAAAAGCATCCAAGAAATCTTTTATGACTCAGAAGCAATAGATTTCATAAAAAAAAAGAAGCAGCAGCAAAGGAATTTAACACAAACTCAAATGCAGGATTTGACACCAGAAAAAATCCCAAATCCTAAATCCGACAACATTAATCTCACAAAACTTGCCTTTCTTCTACAAGGCTAGAAAAACAAACTCCTCAATTGCTGGGATATCCCCAATCCTCTTTAAAGCCGACTTGCTCGGTTGCTCATCCACCCCAATCGCCATCACCGCTTGCTTTCTTGGTGCGATCCTTCCAACGCTCATAAAGCTCACGTTCACGTTCTCTTCTCCCAATATGCTTCCCACCGTTCCAATCATACCCGGCTGATCAACCTGCCTGCAAAGTATGATATTGCCTTCCAGGCTCACATCCACTTCAAATGCTCCTACTTTGGTCAAATGTGGAACTCCGTCTTTCACCTTGCCTTCCACTGTGATGTCACCCGACTCGGAGATGGCACTCGCAAATTTTGACTCCACATTCGCGATCTGGACCTGGATGGACTCGAGAGGGCTTTCAGGTGACCCGTCTAGGATCACTCGTTCTTCACTGATGCGAACTCCTCTTTGTTTGGCGGTGAAATCTGCGTTCACCAAGTTGACAAAGACGCTAGAGATGGGCTCGATCAGACCTTTGGTGACCATGGCACGGAGCAGTCTTGTGTCCAGGTCATCCGGAGCTCTGGCGGAAGCGTAAGTCACCTTCACGGATTTCACTCCGCTTCCACCTGCAACTAGTTGTACAGCCAACCTCCCGAGTTTTTCAGAAAGTGTAACGTAAGGCTTAAGCTCTGCAAGGACCTGCAATAAAATTCATACATACAGTATGAGAATCCATTTTCTATGATAACACTAAACATCCGTTTTTTGTATCTGGTGCTTGGTTGAACACACTCTCTCACCTGTAGCCTGCTCTCATTTCTTTTTTACAAGGTGGGGGTGTTCACAGAAACAACCTATCTACCTCTTGGGTAGAAAAGGTTCGCATATATCTTACCCCTCAGGCCGGTGCAGATTTAGTCATGGGCTAGTGGGTGCCCACTCTACCGTCCCAATCCAAGAAAAAAAAATTAAAAACCTTAAAGGGGGAACAAGCTTTAATTTGATGTGTGCTCCCTTAGTTAACTAAAAAAGTGGTTGCAACCTACGGGTAGTGCCATGCGGCATTGCAGGTTGCAAATTCATATATTTGGATCTTTTTATAGTCTTTTGGTAACAGCAGGCAAAAAAATGAAACCCCCACTTGGGTGTTGCAAAAAGAACACGAGTATGTCATATTTAATTAATCACTACCATTTATGATTAATTTCTGTTCTATTTTATAGTATGTTCCGCTCGAGAAATTTTCTGCCTATGCCTTAGCCTCGTACCGTACCTCGGTGTGGGATTTACCGGGTTTGTTTGGTTTTCAAGTACATTATTTCAAGATGTGTATTTCCATTCCAAATGTACTTGGTGAACAGTGTGCAGCAGTTGTTACTTGCTAAGAAACTTAGAAGAGATTAGCAATTAAGTGCAGGTAGTACCTCAGCAGGAACCATGGGAGCATTGACTGCAGTAGCAGCAAGTTCACCTCTCAAGGCTCCAACAACAGCTTCAGCGATTTCAATGGCCACTCCTTCCTGCATAAGGCGTGAATATTAAACGCTGATGATATAAAATCCAAACAAACACCAAAAAGTTTCCAATCATTCACAAACCTGAGCTTCCATTGTGCTGGCACCAAGATGAGGAGTAACAGTTACATTCTCATGCTGTATCAACTTGCTATCCTTTGGTGGTGGCTCAACAGTGAAAACATCAAGTGCCGCCTGCAAGTATAGTTCAGTACATATGAGATATGGTGAACAGATAATAAAGATTTGTTGGAGTCCCACATCGGGTAGACTTGGACCATTTCTCAAGAGTAGTCTAATGGGGTTTCATCATATTCTCGCAAGGATTGCAAAATAAACACAGAAATACAAATACCTGTGCTACGATGCCAGCATCTAGTGCCCTGACTAATGCATCTTCATCTATCACTCCTCCACGAGCAACATTGACTATTCTAACTCCTTTTTTCATCTTTGCAAAGTTCTCATCGTTCAAAATTTTTGATGTAGCAGGAGTGAGGGGCATGTGAAGTGACAGGAAGTCTGCTGTTGCAATGGCTTCATCAAAACTCACCAAGTCGACTCCTATGGCATGAGCACGGTCAGCTGGAGCATAAGGGTCATGTGCGATTACGTGCATACCAAGGCCCTTAGCGCGTCTGGCAACTTCTGTTCCAACCTTCCCAAAACCCATCACTGCAAGAGTCTTGCCAACAAGTGATACACCCACATATTTGTTCCTCTGCCACTTCCCTGCATCGATCACATTCTCATGAACTTGTACAATGAAATCCACAACATAACACAACAAGAACAACCTTCCTTTACATGAAAAAGAAATTACAGTGTAGCATTAGGTAAAAAGCCTATTAGATGTGTAAGCGGTATAATCATCTCCCACTTCTTACAACCATTTCAAGAATCCCATTTCCATTAATTCCCTTATCATGTAAACAGGACCCCGAATACTGAAATGATTATTAGAAGAATATGGCCTACAGATCGAGCAATTGGTTTTTACGAACACAGAATAGACTCCAAACAACAACAAAAAATCAACAGCCTTTTTGAACTAGAAGAAAATAACATTTTGATCGTAACGAGTATTCTGACATCAAGATTACATAGGTAACTTGGCCTCACATAAAGCAAAAAACATAATTCTTATAGTCAACAAAAGCCAACGTTTTTCAGCAGGTTAAAATATGCAGGTAACCAAAAGGACTACATCCTAACCAAAGCTCCACCTTTATACCAACAAGATCAGAACACAAAAAGTTCACATTTTCATCAATCAAGATCAAAAGTGAAAGAATTTCCCAACAAGATCAATAAGGACAAAAGAAGAGTAAAAAAAATTCATGCAAGTTACAAGCTATTCTAAAATGCCAAGACATGAAATTTATCATGTTTCATCAATTTTTAAAATATAATTTGTAAATCTTCATCGATCTAGAAATAGAACTGTACTTTATATCTACCTAAACCATAATTAAACGGAAGTTGGAAGCTAGATCTAGATCAGGAGCAACAAGACCTCATGCAAGGCAGCTATTCGACGAAATGTCAGACAGAGTTATCACCTAATCAATCAACAAGAAAATTTCAAATGGCAAAAGGATATAGTACAAACCAGCTTTAATTGACGCATCGGCTTGAGCAACATTCCTGGCCATAGCAGTAAGAAGCGCGATCCCATGCTCAGCAGCGGCAACAGTATTAGCCGTCGGTGCATTAACAACAAGGCACCCATGCTCCGTCGCCGCTCCCAGATCCACGTTGTCAATACCAACGCCGGCTCGTCCAACAACTTTAAGCCGACCACCGGACGATTCAAACACCTCGCGGCTCACTTTAGTACCACTCCTTACAATCAAGGCATCACAAAGCGAGATCTTGGTGCAGAGCTCCTCAGGACTCAAGTTATACGAACAATCAACATTAGCATAGTCTTTCAAAAGATCAAGCCCGGCTTCCCCTAATTTCTCAGCCACAAGGACGGTAGGTTTGGCGTCCATCGAGAGAACGATGAACACCTGAGACGCACGGCGGCGTTGGTGGCGCGGGAGTGACACCGAGACAGGGAATTTCCATGAGAGGGAAGATAGAGAGGTCAACTTGAGGGGTGATCGAGACGAAATGAGGCTAGATGAAGCTGAAGCCGCCATTGTTACGGTGGTGCTCTTGTTGAATCCCTTTTGTCACCCTTTTTTCTGTGTGTGACTGTGTCTTTCTCTAATGTACGCCGTTACAAAGACGCAGAATGCCCACTATTTATAGCGGCTTATTTGTAATATGATTTTAGAATGTGGGTTCACGCTCCCATCGGCGCGTGGCTCAGGTATTTACCAAAAATCAACGATTTTTTGGAAATTTATTTAAATATCCATGTTTCATGATGGGTTTTACCTGGTACATTTTTCCTTTAAATTTATCAAAATAAATTGCAAACTTAACTAAAATATCAAAAAAATACACTTTTTACCCTTGTTCGTAATTGTTTTTACATTTTTCACCCAGTCCTGCAAAAAACATTACATTTGTTATCCAGAGTTAAGTAGAAAAACATTTTACTAAGCAGATTAGGTTAAGTAGGTTAACTAAGGGGGCATTTTACTCATTTACTTTCTTTTTTCGATTAAAAAATAGAAAAACATCTTAACCACCAAACGAGTGCCGCCACATGCCGCTATTCTCTCGCTCTCCCCCCCCCCCTACACCTCCCCTATGTATTGACTTAAGTTGTTCCGCCATCTTTCCACACTACGAGTCTGCAACCATTGTTTCTCCAGTATGCCTCCTTGTTTCTCAACCCAAAGAACATCAATCATCGACATCATGATCACAACAACATATTTGTGCAACTTCATGAATAAATGTAATTAAAAAAATACATACAAATCAAAACTCCTAAATCTTAAAGCAAACAAACGAAAGGCCATTAAACGAATTCAAACAAAACCCTAAACACCATAAACTGATGAACTTAAACCTTTCTTTGGATGTTATATCACTGTAAATGAAAGAAAGGAAGAAAGATAAGATCCACCAAACCCGAAAAGAACTCGAGTCTTTCTCTGTGTTTTTTGTGATGCTACGTTACTCGACGAATTTACAACAGCAAGATCCGTCATTAATACAAGGGAGGTTGAATCTTTGTTCGGTGGATTTACATCACCAAGATCCATCAAAACCAAAACCATGAACACGAAGATGAGAAGGAATAAAGACAACAATTCGGAGTGGTGAAGAGACATAGATGACGATGTGGTGGAAGTCAAAGATGGATGTCAGAGTAGGAACAAGGACAAGGGCAACAAGTGGATAAAAGGATGAGGTTGACGATCATGAACAGAGACAACACATTAACAGGAGGACTAGTTTGAGCTTTGAAATACGAAAACTAGATGACAGGTGATAATTTATAAATTTTAGGTACCAAAACCGAAAAGCATACATAAATAGAGGACCACAAATGTAATTCACTTATAATATAATTAAAAACATTACCAATGTAAATCTTATTTTTTTTTTTAATTAATGAACTTTCTATGATTTTTTTGGAATTTTATTTATTTAAAAATTGCTAAAGAAATGTTTTTTTATTTATTTGTGAAGCGCGGTAGGTGTGCGTGGTTACACGCGCTCAATATGCTTGCGGATCTCGGGTCACTGCGTGATAGGCATCTTTGCCCGGCGGGATCTAGCTGTGGGGCCCATCTAGGGTTGGTGAAATGCCATTCATTTTCATTAGTTTAATCTTTCAATAAACCCCTTTTACTTTGTCTTAACCACAATAAACCCCTTGTAGTTCTGTTTTTTTACATCTAGCCCTTACAATAATTTATATTAATAATTTATACACAAATAGTTAAACTTAACATGCTATGGTATTAACAAAGATACACAAGTCTAGGATTTTTCAAACTGAATTCGGGTTTTTGAGGGGCCGTTTATTAAATACTTACTCGGGTAAGCATTTATCAAGTCACATTACCTCACCGGATGAATATGGTAAAGACTAAGAATCTTACTCGGCAAGAACGAGACAAGGACCATGAGTCTTACCCGGTAAGTGAGGGCGACCGATCATACCACGTTAAGCGCTTACCGGGTGAATTGTTGCATACAATGTCGTTTTGATGGACTAAAATCTTACCCGCTAAGTAATCAATAGTGTTAAATTTTACCGGTAAACACTTACCGGGTAAGTGTTTGGTAAACGGCCCTGTAACAGCCCGTCCCACATCGGTTGGTGAGGAGAACTAAGCACTCCTTATAAGGGTGTGGATACATCATCCTAGCATGACCGGTTTTGGGGCTTGCGTTGTGCGGCTGCCAGAAACAAAACCGTGCGACTACTGCTTTGTGGTTTAGCAGGCAGGTTAGTCAAAGCGGACAATATCATGCTACAGGGTTCTGGGGGCGTTACAGGCCCCTAGGTCAATTTTAGTAAGCAAAAAAAGTGTGAACCATTTGGATTGCGACATTCTGGTTAAACGTTTTTTTTATTAACCTGGATATCCAACCCGCTATGCGAACTGACTAATCCCAGGGCGACCACCTGCTTTGCAGATAGCCCAGAGTCATCGCATTTGAACCTCCATGACCACAAGGGGATTTTTATTCCTCATTGGATTTGAACCTGTAACCTCCTGGTATTTTTGACCTTTGGAGCCAAAATCAAACCAATCAGACATCACCCTTGTGGTTATTGGTTAAACCTTAGAGGCATATAGTAGAAAATCTCATGTACTACGAGTTCCAATCCAAGCATCGTCACTTATGGCCATATAGGTTCACTTGTGATGACTCCAAGCCACTTATGGTCGCTTGAGGGATTAGATTGCCGTAAAACTCATGATTACGAAAAGGAAGTGTCGGTTTTTGGGTCAAGTTGGACTTGAGCTTTGGGATTTTAAAGTCCGAGTTTTCCAAACTTTTGAAAAGAATATACAGAAAATGTTCTTATATATATATCAAACGATATTGTTTATTTACCTGAATAACAATTAACAAACCGAACACAACCACACTAGAACATGAATGTATTTGACATTCTCTAAAACCATCGTTAAACCGTTACAATCCGAACGTAAAATGACCCAATTTACGATTTAAATACGATTAAAGCTTTAATGGCATAATAGTAACTTGGGTGCATATATGGAAATGATATAAACCTTGGGGGTATTTATGGTAAGTTTTTATGATGATGGTGGGGGGTGGGTGGGTAGAGGTTGGTGGGTGGTCTTCGTGATTACATAGATTTTGACTTGTCTTGATATATTTTAATAGTTGCCTACTTCAAATACTCTTCCTTAACACTTAATTAATTTTGTATTAGTATGTATTTATTTTATTTAAATATTTTTAAAATTATTATAAATTTAAACAAAATAATGTGAAATTGTGTCTAATTTTGAGTGTGAATATATTAAGAAAATATATATTTTAAAAACTAAAATATTATAAAGCATGATGGGGGTTACTATTACTACTTAGTGTATGAGACGAGATTCTTTGATTATTTAATTTATATATTATATTATAAAATAAAAACTCTTAAAAATCACTTTTTATGTATGAAGTATTGTTTATTTTTTATGCATGAAGTATTTTTTATTGATGCATTTACTTAAAATTCAAGATTACAAGTAATTTCGCATAAGTATAATTTATTAAAGCTCTATTTTTAAATTTGTGTAACTGACTATTGATAAACATTTATTTTAAATATAGAAAATCTAAAATATAATTAAGATAATCATTCAGTTCTAACAGAATGTTTAATTATTATTTTTATAAAAAATTATATTATTAGATAAAAAATAAATTACTTTATTATTAAATCTAAATTAAATTATAATAAGTTTTTAAATTAAAGAAGTTACACAAAAAAAAGAATTATTAAATAGTTAATTTGATACTAATATTGATTTTATTTTTTTCAAATTTTTATGCTATCTTCAAATTTATATTTCATTCAAAAATAAAAACATTATCGTTTTCTCAAAATCACATAAAATCGTATTATATCGATATAGACAAAGAATAAAAACTAAACATTAAAATGATGATTATTTTCGCTGCATTGCGCAAGTACTCTTCTGGTATAAAAAAAAAGTAGATAAATGAATGTAGATTGAAAATTGACTAAACACATCTTTGCTAATACCTAGTGTTATTTGGGAAGTGGTGGCAATTTTGATATGAAAGTAATTAGGTACCGTTTGTTGAATGCTTAACGGTAAGTGTTTATTAGGGATGTTTAAAATTTGGTTAATCCATTTCGAAAAAACGTAATAGAATTCAATTTGAAGTAGTATGATACATAGCTGATACAAAATTAAATCAAACCGTATCTATCAGGTTGGAATATGGTTAGGGTAATTTGAATCGAATCCAACTCAATGAACTCGAGGCCTTTCTATATTATGGATTTGATGTAAGTGTTAGGTTATTGATTAATACATGTACGTTAGACCAATTTGTAATTAGCTATATTCAGATTTATATAATCCGAACATGTAAAGAAGTATGCTCCAAAGTTGATGTGTCTTTAGAATATCAATGCATAGGCTAACCAATCCGTGTAGCTTGGAGATTGATCGAACCTGCTTGTTTTACAGCTCAAACAGTAGGTTGATTGGGTGGACAGATAGTATCAGACACTGATCATTTGTTTTCTTAAGAGAGTTCCTGTGGCAGAGGCTTCAGGTAGGGTTGTAGCTTTTTATCTAACACTGAAAGGTTGTGAAGTCGGCATTTGAAGATGATGATGCTTGATAATTGTTGAAGGATGAAGAAGACACGAGATAAATCCACATATTGTAGAGGGGGGGAAATACGAAGGCACACACAATTATGGGATAAGATGTGGATTTGTGAAACGAATAGTAATTATGAGATTAGAGTGAAAATGGCGGTTGAAATGGTCGACTCTTCAAAATCTGACACATAATTATAAATGTGATGATTGTACTTATCACCAACTCTTGGTGTTCTTAACCGATAGACTGAAAATTGAACGAGATCAGTGAACAAATTCAATGAAGAGAATATATGAGAAAAGTTGATATTTCTATGATTTCCGATTAAAAGTGATGAAATGTTTGGAAAAGAAGATTCCGCAACATAAGAGGGAAAAATATATGGGTATGCGAATACAAGCTATATTCGACCACATTCAGAAAGGAATGAATGTGACACACATT